AAAAAAGTGGATAATTATTAAAATATAATACATTTTATTTTAATTCTTATATAATGAAAGAATTTTTTGCAAATTAACTAAAATATTAGAGGTATTATGACTTTTCAATAATATTTTTTTATAATGAATTGCTTCATCAAAAAATCAAAATTAAACAATTTTTATATAACATGGGAGTTTTATGTTTTTAAATTTAAAACACAAAAGATTTTATGCAATTTTCATATTACACGAGAGTTTTATGTAATTTGAAGAAAATATAAGGGGTTTTATACTTTTAAATTTAAAACGTAAGAGAATTTTATGCAATTTTTATATTATAAGAAAGTTTTGTACAATTTATAAAAAAACACATTTTTATGATTTTAACCCTTACTGTTTAATTAGTTTGATAAATTGAATAGTTTGAAGCATTGTTTTAAAAGAAAAAATTATTTTCACATAACCCTTTTGGAGATTGTGAAGTTATTACTAAAAATAGGCTTCATCAGCGAAATTGAGAAGAATATAAATGGATTATCGACCTGGACATTGCCCTATATATTAATAACCGGCACGGACGAGGCCAGCATAAAAATTTGCAAGATGTTACGCCAAGCAAAAGCCTCGAACGGTTCTTCACTTGCCAATATTTGTAGTCATTCTGATTTCCTGAGGTCGCCACAGCAACGTTTGGAAGCACATGTTGGATCAATTGTATTCACTCTAAGACTGAAATCAGCGGAAGTACGTAACATGGTATTAGTGGCAGCAGGGTTAATTGCGGCCGCGACTTTCCAAGCTGTGCTTCAACCCCCCGGCGGGACTCGGGACAATGACATTAATACTCTCCTTCCAAGAGAAACCAACACCACCAGCCCGCTGAATCCAACAAGACGGTTCTACTGAAAGGCCTAGGTGGGAGAGAGATTACGCATCGAAGTTTCTTCTTGCTTTTTTAATGAACTCAACACGTGCGCCTTTGTCAACTCAATTATAGCCATTATAGCTGTTCTGAAATTGAAGTTCTATTTTGTGCCCCTGCCAATGACTCTGGTATTTTTGTTGCTGACCTATGGCGTAGCATTCTTTGCCATATCGCCTACGTATGGATACGCTGTGCTTTTAATGTTTTTGACTGTTGGTTTCCCCGTTTACAGCTTGTACCTCATGATTGTTACCTGCTATATCAAAAAACAGATAAAGTCGCGGGTGTATGCTCGTGGCCTTACACTGCAGCGCTTTCAGATGCTGTATCGTCTGCTCAAACAAGCATAAAATACGCTTGTACATGGATACCCAGACAGCGTTCCCAAGAATAGCAGAAAAGCTAAGAGCTGCAAATGGTAGCTATACCGAGTGTACATTCAAGCGAAAATGTTAAATCACCTGAGAGAATTTTATACGAAATTTACTAGCAGAGTAGTGTTGGCTATTCTAGAGATAAAAATATGATTTTTTTTATTCGAATATTGTCTTTTATCACTCCAGTTTGGAAGAAGTAGCAATCATGATAGAGATAATATTAGCCTATCTCTGCCACTCCGTAAATACAGTTTGTATCTCATGTATTTAGTGACAAAAAAATAATCCTACTGTCAATCTAACTCCTATGGCTGTAGGTTCCGGAGCCGAACCAACCCTTATCTTTCATCTCTATCTCTTTTCGGCCTTCCATACAGTTTCTGTTTGTTTCATTTTATTTATCTTTCTGACAATGACATCCTGTTTACTCAATGGAAGAGGCTACAGAGACCTCTCTTGCTTGCTCCTAGGCAAATAATTTTGGATTCTGAAGGCGTGGCTATCTCGGTCCAATCCCCTGTTTTGGGCCTCGATTGAGTTTCGGTTATGCTTTTCTCATCGTTTCCAACTCTAATGAAGTCTACTGTGTTCTTCACTTTCAGGTTGTTTGCTCAGGTATGATTTTTTTGCCACGTGGTGGATCCTCCCGCTTTCTTTGTATTTTTGTTTGCTTCTGATGTTAGATTAATCCTACTATTAATTAATGAACTATTAGTTTCCACAAAAAAAAAAAAGAAAATAATTCTTTTAAGCAAATTGAATATGGAATAGTTCTCATTCTCTCTTACCAAACTGTAAAATTAGTTGTTGATGCAACCGTAAAAAGGGCTGTCTTTTCCTTACCAAACTCCGCTCGCCGCAACCACCAGCATATTGCGCATCTCAATTGACAATCTCTCTGCGAGTAGAGTGACAATTTGAGCGGCTTTTCTAGGAAGGATTTTTGTGAAAAATATTCGGCCACATTCTGTGGCTTAAGCAGGTGAAGCTTATGCAGCTGCGCCGCGTAAGGTGCTGCCAATGTCATTAGTCTCGACATCATCTTTTAAGACAATGTCAAGGGCTGTCAAGCTTTCCGACTTGATTTCCCATTTGTTTACTTGCTTGCGATCTACTACAACTTGACCATCTCCATGAGGAATGAAGTATTAATCAAAGATAACTAAGGTGGCATTTAATCCAAAAATGACCACATGGGTAAGGTGATCCAGAACAAAAATAAAGAGACGATAATTAAATAGTTGATAATATAAAATTATTAAGTTGACCCTAACCAACTGAATTCAACTCAAAACTTTAGAGTCTTTTTGGGTTCAGATTAAAATATATGACCCGTAGTTCTTAAAATAGAGTTTAGTCAGGCTGAGGTTGGTGTTCTGGTAAAGCCGCAAATTGCCAGCTCTACTTCCAACCCAAGCAGTAAAAGTAAACAAACACTCGTAGCGTTAGCTTGTCTGTTTCATAATATGTCAGCTGGTAACACGGGGAATTGGAGAAATCAAGCAAAGGCTTACCTGCGTCTGCTTAGTAGACACTGCATTGTGGGAACCTTATTCAAAGGCCTCTCTTCTCTCTCTCTCTCTGACATATATATATATATATATATATATACATTGGTATGAAAATTTTTAAAAATTAATCTAATTAGAGTGCAATTGAGATTTTCAAGAATGAACTAAACACGCTAAAAAAGAAATTTTGTATTCTATAATAAAAAATTAAAGTTTCATAAGCGTAGGTCAAATTAAAGACCCTTTACTCATTTTTTATTTTATTAAAATAGAACAAAGCTGAAAACAGGATTAATTTGTCAAACTAACGGTCTACTTGTGCGGTTTCATGGGCAACTGGTTGATAGGACTCTGGCCTGATGGCAACCAGAGTGCTTGTGCCAGCTAATAGTCAAATTTGCCGCTTGGGATTTTTAGAAGTGGTTCACTTTCTATTTAAATTTTCTACAAGAATGCATTTCAGCCCTACACAAACACTTCAACAAATAAATGTACATTTATGCCTTAGGCCTGAATAATCAAAATATTATTAAATAAATTCCAACCAAACTAACTATAAAAATATAAATAAATTGGACTGATTACTGCTACGATTCAGAATACTGGTCAAAAAGCAACCAGAGTACTAGTGCCAACTAATGGTCAAATGTGTTTGTCTTACATTAAGCGTCCAAACATGTAAACAGTCCACTCAGGGGCTTTTAAAGTAATCATGAACAATTGCAGTGACTTTCTCTTTCTCCAGAGACAAAGAACGTCGGCAGCTTCAATCGACGGAACTCCAGCGACGATCCGGGAAGGCTGAAGGCATAAGAGAACAGGGACAAGGCCGCCGGCGACGTCGCTCCTGTCAGTAGTCGGTGGCAAGGTTTTCTCCGGCTTCCGCTTCAACTTCTTCTCTCTCTCTCTTCCCGTAATACTTGCTAGGTCTGTTTTCAATTGCTTTGATCTTTGTCTGATCCAGTTGTCTCTGGCTTCGTCTCTCTCCGATTACTCGGCTTCTTCTGGGTATTGATTTTGTGAGACTCTTCCCTCCACTGAAGGAGGGCCGGCGTCTAAATAGATGACTGTAAGTCCTCTTCAGTGCGCGCGAGTTTACAGCTTTTTTGAGATAATGACTTGGATTTAGGGAAGTAGCCGACTATCTTTAAATAAGTTTCAACACAATCAGGATTTGATTTTGGATAGATCTTCAACCCAGTCTTGTCTTCTCAGTTGCTTGTATTGCAGCGCGTCCAACCGTGCAATTTTACTGCAGCAGGCATGCTATGTAGTTTTGCCTGCTACAGCGCACTAAATTCCACACCCCCCCCCCCCCCCCAACAGCACACACACAACCCCAAACCTTCAAATTTAAAACGAGTCCCATGTATATCAAAATAATGAAAGATCCTTCCGGATCACAGTTTTAATGATGTATGAGTTAATAGCATTACAAACATAAGTTATACTAATTACTGATTTAATTACCCTTAATAGATTTGTCAATAATCGCAAATTATATTATTAATGTTCAAAATTGATTTTAAACATCATCTTAAGCTCGAATTTGACATATATTATTGAGACAGAAGCCTTGGTTTGATGAATGCATGTTACCTGCATTAATATTTTACTTAAAAAAGCATTTCATTGCATTTGATTCGAATGTGGATTTAAAATTGTGAACCCTAAGATGTGGAAAAAAAACCTAAATCCACCTTAAAATTCCCATTTTTAATGATATATACCCCTTACAAATCCTATTATGTACCAAAAATCAGCTGGAAAGAGGTATATCTCCCACCCACGACGTGGAAGACTTTGGACACCTTGAGCTAGACCAATTGAAACTAGAATCCTATTACGTAGCCTGACCAAAGAGGCATACCTCCCACCCAAATTCCTGTTATGTATACGAAATTATAACTTGACTTCCTTTTCAAATTTTAATCATCACGTTATTCACCATTTATCTCAGCAAGTTTAGGCCACGCAAGTTAATATTTCCTCATTATTTAACTATTTTAAGCTTTGAAATTCACAATACTTGAAGAGGCCTTGGAAAGTCTCACTTGATGGTTATGAAATGCTCTCTCTTTCCTCCCTCCAGGCTGCATCAATGTCCCAGTCTGTCTTCATTCTTTCCTTAATTTGAGAAGCCTACATATACATCTTCAGACATCGAACTCGGGTCTTCAAGCCGGAGATATTGCTCCATCTACGATGGAACAAGCTCAACAAACGCTGAAGGAGGTCGCTCAAGCTGGAGACTTTGAGGGCTTGTACGAGTCAATAAATCGGTTTCCAGATATTTTGGATTATATCGACAATAAGTCTTTTGTTGAGACTCCATTGCACACCAGCTGCCTCTGCCGGACACACCCGCTTTGCTTTGGAAATCATAAGGCTGAAGCCGTCATCTGGGAGGAAGCTAAACCCAGATGGCTTCAGCGCCTTGCACATGGCCCTGCAAAATGGGCATTCCTACACTGCTGACCGTCTCACAGGGTTTGACAAGGAGCTTCTGCGGGTTAAAGGAAGGAATGGGTTCACTCCTCTACATGCAGTAGCTCAACGAGATGAGATTGAACTTTTGGCCGAGTTCTTACGTGCTAATCCCGAGTCCATCGAGGACTTGACGATCGGGATGAGACCGCGGTTCACATCGCTGTGAAAATCTCCAGGATCAGAGCTACTAAACTCCTTCTTCGATGGATTTCCATTATTGGAAAAGGCCACGTGCTCGATTGGAAGGACGAGGAAGGCAACACTGTGCTGCATGCTGCAGTTTCTTCCTTGCAGAACGAGGTAAGCTATAAAATATGTTTGGTTTATGAAGTCTCATATAAATTATCATAGCTGATTAAACTTGCACAACAGTTATTCTGGGGAAAAAATTGTCGAGCACAATATTTTTGGATAAGTTGTACATATATATATATATATATATGGAAATTATGTAATTAATATAATTTCAACTCTTTAATTCTTCTTAGTTTAGTTAAGGTACATTATATATAAAATATGAGAAATAATTAATTGATATCTAATGTAAATAGAACCCATTTACACCACATTTTACACCGTTGATTTAAGATTTAGTTAAAATCAACGACTGATATTAATTTCATTCATTAGAAGTTGTTGTAAATTAATGCCAATTAATTTTATCTGTTGATTTTGACTAAATTAATTATATGAGATGTGGTTGTAAATACCTTCTATTTACACTAAGTATCAATTGATCCTTTCACATAAAATATTTTAGTTCAATTTTTTTTTGAATATTTATTTGTTTATATTTTAGTAGTGTCTCTATAATTTACCGATTAAACAGTAAAACAATTTTTCTATAGCAAATATATCGAGAACTTACCAATTAATTATGTAATAACCCAATTTTTCAAAATTATTTAGGTTGGGGACCTTATTGTAGGAATTAAATTTCTAGGGGCTTAATTGGAATTTTTGTCAGGGACCTATTTGATAGAAAACAAGGTTTGGAGCACCAGATTTCAATTTGACAGATTTTCTGTCAAGAACAGTACCCGGTTACTGTATCTGCCTTACCGTGATGATAAGGAGTTGGTAGCCCGATTGAATCGAGCATTTATGCTCATCTTTGTCCAACGAACAGAAGCCCTCAAGCTATTTAGTAATTTTTGGAGGTCCAGTTCAAGGTGAACTAGTCTCGATTTGCGTGTCAATACTTAGGGTTAGGGTTTTTGGCCTGGTTCGGAGCTGGTTTGAGCCCTTTTTTGGCCGGTTCAGATTGGTTCCTAAGGTTTTTAGACTTTCTGAATCCGATTTTGAGGGTTTCGTGGCCATTTGAGTTGAGTTAGACGTAGTTTTGAACCGGGCTAAGCTAGTTCGAGAGTTTTAGAGATCGGTTCGCTGCGATTCGAGGTTTGTGGAGGCTGGTTCCGTAGTGTTGAGAGTGGTTAAGTAGATTTGTTCAGTGTTAGTGAGTCGCGTAGGTTCCGGTGACAATCATGTTGTCTCGAGATTCGTGCCAAGGGGTCGATTTGGGATTTTAGGCCGATTTTGGCTACCGAGCCTGTTTCTCGTGCTGGTTTCAGTGTTGGTGATGGTTTTGTGCGATTTTGATTGCAGATTCACAGGCAAGGGCATGCTTGGACCACTGAGTCGGGCGAGGTGACTCGAGACTCTCTTTTTGGCTTAGCGTCCATACTGTGTGTGACGATACATTTTCTATGCTGTGTTTCCATACTGTTTTACTAGCATGATGATTATGTGACTTGGAATCTATATTTTGATTTGATTATATGCTCGGGTTATGTGATATGTGTTTTGTAAACTGCGAGTGAGTTGTGTTGGTATGTGACTTTGGTTTTCGAGATATGGACTGTATATGGGCATGTATATCTGTTTTGACTTGAATGTGAGGGTGGCGTGATGTGATGGGATTTGGGACGGTAGGAACTCGACTAGAGTGCGGTGATCCATAGCGTCCAGTGGTGAGTCAGTCTGAGTCCGTGAGGGGACGGCAAGGACTCGACTGGAGTACGGTGATCTGTAGCGTCTAGTGTTAGGTAGGCCTGAGTCCAGTGATGTGATTTGATGTTTGGTTGAGGGTATTCTTGAGTGTATGTTGTTATGTTTTATTTATCACTGTATGCGTATGGTTTTGGACTTGTGGCTTGACGTATATCCTGACGTGCATAGATTAGATATCATCCGTACTCACTGAATTTCGTGACTCAAATTTAAACTTTCTAGATTTGTTTGACTGTACCTACCTCGATTAGCGTGCCAGTGTAGGAGACAGGGACTGCGAATTTGATCAATGTACGGCACTTCTCTTTTGTATCTTTTCTCTATTGTATTCTAGAGTAACTTCTTTGTACTTTCAGACAGGATTCTGGGTGATTTTTGGATGTGATATTACTGCTTTTAAGTGTATGTTTCGTATCTTCAGGGTTTGACTAGTTTTGTTGAGGCTTACTGGGATTAGTGGATCTCAGTGCCGGTCACGGGCCTAGGGTTCGGGGCGTGACAAAGTGGTATTAGAGCTATAGGTTTGTTCTAAGAGTTATAAGGGAGCGGGGTTCTTTGGTAGTGCTTTTATTATGAGAGTAAGGGCCCCACTTTCATAATAGAAGGATTGCCGAAGACCTTTTAGGATGTTTTTGGCGTTGGCTTTTGAATTCCGTTGTGTGCTCGAGTCCTTTGATATCTTTCTAATCCTCATATTTGTTTATAGATGGACTCGCTGAAGGATGTGCCTGTGACGACGGGCGAGGTGCCCATTGTTTCTCGAGAGGCTACGACGTCGGGGTGTCAGGAGATTCCACGGGTGGGTTCGCCCCACCTCCAATTAGTGGGAGAGGACGAGTGAGAGGCCGTGGAGGACTGTTAGACAAGCTCAAGAGTCGACTGTCGGACTGAGTGTGATAGTACTGGTGGACCTTTTGACTAGACTTGTAACAGAAGTTCGAGAGTTGCAGAGAGCAGTAGCCGATCTTTCTAGGGTTAGTACGGGAGAGAGGAGACAGCAGGCCTCAGTTGGAGGATAGCCGAGCATAACGACTGCGCTAGAGGGAGTGATGCCAGAGGGGCCAGCCCCAGCTGGTACACCTGTAGGGACCCCAACTGTATCAGCAACAGCAATCCCAGTAGCGCAGCAGACGGGGTTCGATGGCTATTTTAGAGATTTCCTTAAGATGAATCCCCCCACTTTTACTGGAGTAGGGACACAGGAGGATCCACATCATTTCCTACATTAGTTGGACAATCTGTTTCAGATCTTGCAGTGTTCCGAGGCGAGATGAGTGCAGTTGGCCGTCTTCCGTCTTAAGGGTGTGGCTCGATCGTGGTATGATTGACTGATAGAGATGAGATCGACAGATATTGCCCCCTTGACTTAGGAGGAGTTCCGTAGGGAATTCCTCGAAAGATTCATGCCTACAGCAAGGTGGTAGATTTGACCTCAGAGTTTGAGAGACTGATGCAGAGACCGGGAATGTTTATGATAGAGTATGAGCAGCAGTTTACTCGTTTGTCTCGGTATGCTACCTTTCATGTTGCTGATGACAGGGCACGGACTACGAGATTCATCAAAGAGTTGTCAGATTCCTTGTTTAGTTCTATGGGATCACAGATAGGGGCGATTAGCTATGCTTGTACAGTTGAGTGTGCACGCTCCCTGGAGGCGAGAGCGGTATCCAGACATATTCACGAGGGTCTAGTTAAGAGGATTAAGAAGGATGGCTCTTTCAGTGGTAGCAGTTCTAGGGCGCGATCGCCGTCTCGTGATCATCGACGATCCGAGCATTGGAGTTCGTCTGGCAGGCAGTTGTCAAATAGTATTACCGCATCGGGTGGTCATGATTCTTCGAGCAGACAGTTAGTGACTTATTTCAGATGTGGCTAGCAGGGCCATGTGATTCGACATTGCCTGCTTTCTCGGGAGGCTGCCCAAGCGACAGGGGCATGTTTCAGATGTGGCCAGCAGGCCATGTGGCTAGAGACTGTTCACAAGAGCTTGGCGGGATGATGGGAGGTTGTTATTGTTGCGGCCAGCAGGGACATCTGGTCATGGACTGTCCCATTTCAACGGAGACTGTTTTGGCTATAGGCAATATGCCACGAACTCAGGGACAGATTGGTGCAAGGCCATCTGGCGCTAGGGGACGAGGGACTGGAGGCGAAGGTCAAGGTAAAGGCCACGCGCGAGTGTATGCACTAACTCATTAGGATGCTCAGGTGTCGATGCGGCGATCACAGGTACAATTATAGTATGATACTTGGAGGTTTATGCCTTATTTGATTTCGGGGTTATCTACTGTTATGTTTCAAAATTCGAGGACGAATTTTTTTTTTAAGGGGAAAGAATGTTATAACCCAAATTTTCAAAATTATTAAGGTTGGGGACCTTATTGCAGGAATTAAATTTCAAGGGGCTTAATTGGAATTTTTGTCAGGGACCTATTTGATAGAAAACAAGGTTTGGAGGACCAGATTTCAATTTGATAGATTTTCTGTCAAGAATAGTACCCAGTTACTGTATCTACCTTATCGTGATGTGAGGAGTTGGTAGCCCGATTGAATCGAGCATTTATGCTCGTCTTTGTCTGACGAACAGAAGCCCTCAATCTATTTGGTGATTTTTGGAGGTCCGGTTCAAGGTGAACCAGTCTCGATTTGCGTGCCGGTGCTTAGGGTTAGGATTTTTGGGCCCGGTTCGGAGCTGGTTTGAGCCCTTTTTAGCCGGTTCAAACTGGTTTTTATGGTTTTTGGGCCTTCTGAATCCGATTTTGAGGATTTCGTGGCCATTTGGGTTGAGTTAGACGTAGTTTTGAACCAGGTTAAGTCGGTTCGAATGTTTTAGAGACCGGTTCGCTGCAGTTCGAGGTTTGTGGAGGCTGGTTCCGTAGTGTTGAGAGTAGTTAAGTAGATTTGTTTAGTGTTAGTGAGTTGCGTAGGTTCCGACGACAGTCATGTTACCTCGAGATACGTGCCAATGGGTCGATTTGGGATTTTAGGCTGATTTTGGCTACCGAGCCTGTTTCTCGTGCTGGTTTCGGTGTTGGTGATGGTTTTGTGTGATTTTGATTGCAGATTGGCAGGCAAGGGCATAGCCGGACCACTGAGTCGGGCGAGGTGACTTGGGACTCTCTTTTTGGCTTAGCGTCCGTACTGTGTGTGACGATG